TTCAAGTTTGAAAATTTTCCACATGCAGATTCATCAGCAAGTACAAGTAGCAGAGTAGTTTTGCAGGAGGTCTTAGAGGAGGAACCAAAATGGAAGGTTTTACGTGTGAGTGAGTGAGTTCCATTTTCTTTGCAAGACTTGTGCCTTTCGTTTTGGCTTTAGCTGTTTGTTTAGTAATTCTTCCCATTGTTGTGAACTTTCTTCTGAAAAGGGATGTTTTGCAACAAAATATTTACTTAGTTTTCTAAGCTTTTCTTTCTTTCTTTTTGTTTGCTTCAGGATATTCTTAAAGAGATACAAGAGGAAAGAGAAAAGGAAGCTACAAGTGGAGAAGTAATAGCTGCAGAAGACACTGGCATTGTTTTAGTGGCTTGCAAAGATGAACGCTCTTGTGTACAGCTTGAAAATTGCATCACAAACTGCCCTCGGAAGGTTTTGGACTATATTCTTTGCATTATGTTATATGCTCTTCCCATCCCACAAATTCTTCATTATTTATTTTAGGATTCTGACAGCCTCTTATTGCAAAGTCTAGACCATTCTCAGTTTCGAAATTGTTAAGACATTCTATCTTGATGTAGAATTACATTTGGAGACCCTTTTCATTCCAACCAAATCCAAGAGGCTGTCTGCGGATTTGAACTTTTGCGGAATTTGAATATGAAAAGAATTGCAACAATGCTAGGGACAAATTTCTGACTGAATTTTTTATATCCCTTTCTTTCAACAATACTAGGGTTTTGAAAACAGTGATAAATATTAAAGCTACCACATGGCACTTCTCAATTCATGTCTGCATTCCTTTCATATTGCATCACGTTTTGGCTTGTTATACAATATATAAGTCACGATCATTTTACAAACTCTCGTATTTCTTACTATGAAGGTCATGCGGGAAGAATGGGAAAACTATCTGCTTAGCAAAGTAGAGCTGCAAGCTTTACCAAAACAGAGCAAAAAGAAGCCAAAACAACAAAAACAACCTAAAGGTTTTGGGGTACTTGACGGAGTTGTTCTCGCGGCATCTGGGCAAAAGGCAGAAATTAGTAGCGCAAACAAACAGGAGCATGATGCACTACTAGCAGTGGCATCGGAAATTAGTAAGAAAGCTAAAAAAGATACTGTTATTGAAGAAACTCTTCCGAATTCTATGGATGGTGGGGAATGTGACAATGGAAAGGGGAAAGGAAAGAAGAGGAGGAAGAAGAAGACAGAAACTGGTAAAAGTGGCTGTGACTCTGCAACAGTTGATATATCTCATCGTGTAGCTTCCTCTACAAATGAAGAGCAGATGAATGGATGCTGTCCGGCTCTTGCTGGTAGCTCCGCTGGCAATGCTGTGAATGATGCATCTCTTAATGAAGCATTGCTTCAAAAGGATGAGAAAACCTTTGGTTCTGAATCTTCAACGAAAACTAAACAGCTTCCACCTATGCACTTTTATGCACTGGAGACTAATCAGCATATACTTGACATATTAAAGCCTTCTGTCATTATTGTATACCATCCTGAGATTGCATTTGTGCGAGAAATTGAAATTTATAAAGCTGAAAACCCATCAATAAAAGTCAAAGTATACTTTCTTTTCTATGAAGATTCTACTGAGGTCCAAAAGTTTGAGGCAAGTGTACGAAGAGAAAATGGAGCATTTGAATCTTTAATTAGGCAGAAATCACTCATGATAATCCCAGTCGATCAGGTTTGCTCTTAGATAGTTCTGATTTGGATATTTTTCTTTTTTAATGTGGAGCTAGTGCTTACACGCCTTTTTCACTTGTGTTTTTCTTCCTTGGTTTATAATCAGGATGGGCATTGTACAGGACTGGATTCTTCTGTTGATACACAGTCCATACTTTCTCAAAATCTAATGACCAGAAAAGCTGGTGGTAGGAAAGAAGCACAGAAGGAAATGCAAGTACGTGAATTTGGAAATTTCCCAACTTATAGCCATTCCTATATTAACTGAAATTCTTAGTGTACTAACCGTTATATCCTGGTTACACTAGGTTATAGTGGACATGAGGGAGTTCATGAGTAGCCTTCCAAATGTACTCCACCAGAAAGGTATGCGCATTATACCCGTGACCTTGGAAGTTGGAGACTACATACTTTCTCCGCTGATATGTGTAGAAAGAAAGAGTATACAAGACCTTTTTGGCAGTTTTGCATCCGGTCGCCTGTTCCACCAGGCGGAAATGATGTCACGGTATTATCGCATCCCTGTTCTTCTGATTGAGTTTTCACAAGACAAGAGCTTTTCATTTCAGGTATGCCACTTTGCAAAACACTTTGAGGGGGGGAAAGTTGCTCAGTTATCTAACTTTTGGATTTGCTTTCAGTCTGCTAGTGAAATTGGTGATGATGTCACTCCAAACAGCATCATATCCAAGCTATCTTTGCTTGCTCTCCATTTCCCCCGCCTTCGTATTGTCTGGTCACGCAGTTTGCACGCTACTGCTGAAATATTTGCTTCTCTGAAAGCAAACCAGGATGAACCTGATGAGGTCAAGGCAATTAGAGTTGGTGTCCCATCAGAAGAGGGTGTAGTCGAAAATGATGTTAGGTAATACACTTCTCATTCATAAGCAGTGTTGCAAAAATTCCACCTAGACTCCGATTAATCGGCGCCTAGGCACTAGGTGCCCCTAGGCCGTGGCAATTTCCCCTTAGGCTCCCCGCCTAGCGCCTAACTCGGCCGAGTTAGCCGAGTTAACCTGGCCGACTCGACCTTGCTAATTTTTTTCATATATATATATATATATATATATATATATATATATATATATGAACCTACACACATGTACTGTTTTTCTTTTTTTCAGTTAGCCGTCTAGGCTACCGCTTAGGCCCCGCCTAGGCCGTCTAGGCACTAGGCGCTACTCTACCGCCCGACTAGCGCCTATTGCAACCATGTTCATAAGGTCTGAAATATCTTAAATTCAACTTTGCATTTTGAACTCTCTGAGCAAACATCAACTAATCTTCCCTACTTCTCAACAGAGCCGAGAACTACAACACATCAGCCGTGGAATTCTTGAGACGCCTTCCAGGTGTGACAGACGCCAACTACAGGACCATAATGGATGGCTGCAAAAGCTTGGCAGATCTTGCTCTCCTTCCCATGGAGAGACTAGCTGAGCTGATGGGCGGCCAGAAAGCTGCCAAAACGTTGAGGGATTTCCTCGATGCCAAGTATCCAACTATGGTTTAGCTAGCTCTGCTCGGTTTTTCAAAATTTCACTTCCATTACCAAAAAATATGCCTCCGTTTAGTTATGCTTACTTGTAGAATTTGTTTATGGTGTACATTGTGTATTATGACATTTTCGCCTAAATTGTGTTTTTTTGGTTCTTGTTTGTAACTTGTGCTACCAAGATTTGTTAAATTACCTCTAGTTGTTCTCAGGTAGATACAGTTTAATAATTATTTTAGAAGAATTTCTCTCAGTAATAGTTAATTTTTTTTTCAACAACTTACATACTTTTATATCTTATATTTGATGTACAGAGGTTTTCCCAACCGGATCCGTGGCGCAATGGTAGCGCGTCTGACTCCAGATCAGAAGGTTGCGTGTTCGATTCACGTCGGGTTCAAATCTCCCGAAAAAATAAATTCGGATCCTCTTTTTAATTATTTATAATTTCAGAATCCAGGATGTTATGGGCTGCGATACTTATTCAATGCACAAAATTTAATCATGTCAAGGTAAAGGCTGCTATTGGAGTGGGCAAAACTATAAATTATCCAAAAAGGTTATACATTTAATTCTTGTCAACAATTTTTATGTCGAGTTTGTTGTATGGGATTTTTTTCGAGTAGAGTTTACCCAGTGCATTTTAACAAAAAGTTTCGCTTTTTATGGGCAAAGAAGTTTGGTCTGACACTAAAAAAAATTCGTACTAATATATACACAGACTTGGACCAAATCTACAGTGATAGTCGAGTTTCGTTAGTTAGTAAAGGTGCATTTGCAGATTGCCGATATGATTCATCTCCATGACTCTATACTTCTCCCAAAAGGTTGAATCTCCAATGCCAAGAGTCCTCACACTCAGTCCCAATTATTTCCATGATGTGCATATAGTGTGATGTTCTTATATGGTATTATTACTTGAAGCCCTTACTGCATGGTTTTGAGTGTTACAAACTGTTAAGAAAGTACATGGTTTTGGTGTTGCATTTTCTGTCATTGATCAATGTGTAAAATTCGTCATGGGATATAACTCAATTAATTGAAATTAAGAGCTCTGGTGTAGTTTACAAGCACTTTGAGAAATCAGTATGATGGGTTAGGGTAGCCGAGTCAATGTCGGACTCGGCCCAAGTAGTTGAACTCGGAGTCGATTGTCGAGCTTAGCCGCCCGAGCCCGCTTGGCCTTAGAAAGGAGAAAGCTATGGATCAGTTGGAAATACGTGAACTTGGTGGTCGTGGAGTTAATGTTATATGTCTTCTGAGTTCATTTCCTAATTATGGGGGCTTTAATAGTTCAGGACCAAATCGATAATTTTGCTATAGTCAAGTGACCATTTCAGTAATTAACTCTTATAAGTAATTAACTCTTATAATGAATATATGATGAAATTGGTGAAGCCATAGCACAAGATTACCACTGAATTTTAAACAAAATATTGCACCATCCCATCCACCACACAATCTTTTCCATGGGCCACTTCAACCATTCATTGAACTTTCTTCAATTCTATAACTATAAAGTAACTCAAGGTGATGCGCATAATGCACTATATATATATATATATATATATATATATATATATATATATATATATATATACATAGTGTTATGCATTTTCATTAAATTAGCTTTTAAAACATTAATTTTAATTTGTAAGGTACGGCAAAAAATCTTAATAATTAAACACCTTATGACAAACTAAAATCATATAAAAAATCAAGTTATTATATCTCAAATAAAAGTGGATCCACGTACCAACAACAACTTTGCAAAGAAAGACTAACATATATATTATCTATTTCGGGGTAATTAGTTATATTCAAAATATATATAACAATATTTACAATTTGATGATGACTACAATGATGATAACATGTTTATGTAAAGAAGATTAAAACACCCTCAAGTGCATTATATTACTTGAGAGTTTCTTGGGTTACAAACTTACGACCTAATCATGCATGAAAGTCTATTGAGTTCTTACAGATATACACCTGCAGGTAAATTCTGTTCGGGCTCGATCAAAAGAGTGTTAGATCGATAATAATTGAATTTGTAGCGTTCTGTTACGATTGAGAATAGTTTTACCGACTTGACAAACTCTCGATCTATGGGTCTTTACTCTTTAAGAACTTGAATTTCAAGTTTGATTGGTTGAGTGGTAGAGTTGTTGTTGTTCACATGATTATTATTATTATCTACCATCACCTCCATTTCTTCAACTTTATATGTTGAGTGGACACCATACACCACATAAAACAAACTCATCAGACCTGCATTGTAAGTTGAAAAAGTAGTTATGAACATATACTATATTATAATAACAGAATCAATAGTACTAAAAAAAAAATCTGATCAGACCTGTCCAAATTCCAAACCTCTTATATGCCTTCACATTTAAAGTTGTCATCAAGAACACATTCAAGAAGATGGACAGCGCCGCCGGCCACGGCATGAGCGGCACCGACCAGCTCTCCGGCCGCCGCACGCAGGGGACCAAGCGGTGGAAAAGGGCGGTGAAGGACAGCGTCAAGAAGCCGAATAATGGCAGGTTCCACCATTGCAGATTGAGCTTCCATGAGAGGGAGAATCCCAGGGAGCTGCTGGAAACCAGGAAGAGAAAGAGGAGAACTTGGAAGGGTGGGTTGCCGTTGATTATGGCGTAGCGGCGGTAGATGAGGGCGGCGGCTACTAAGTAGAAGACGACGAGGGTTCCGATGGAGATGATCTCTATTACTATCTTTAGCTCCGTGAATAGTGCAACGGATGCTTGGCAAATCCCTACACCATAACATACATGAATTGAAGATAGAAAGATCAATGAGTAAATGAGTAATAATGTAAGTGATATGATAATATAATGGATACTGTTCAAATGAGGATAGGACTTTCCATGCTGTCAATGCGAATTGCACCATTATATTAAGTATACATAAATGCATCACATATTGTTCGAAAATGCACCAAAATGCATCATATGTAATAGTGCATTTTCGAATATTTTGTAGTGCATTTGTGCGTACCTAATGATGCGTGGCTGCACGACCTCACGGGAAGCAGATCAGTGCGAATTGCAATTAAGTATACATAAATGGATCACATATTGTTCGAAAATGCACCAAAATGCATCAAACGTAATAGTGCATTTTCAAATACTTTGTGGTGCATTTATGCGTACCTAATGATGCGTGGCTGCACGACTGCACGGGAAGCACTGTCCGCACGTGAACCTGATTGTAAGAACCCTCTCATGTGTGATAGAGTAGTTAGTGGAGAGTTGTTATATATTATGTTGTTTAATTATACTACTTGTTTGAGTATATAATATATATATATAAACATAAATGTGCAATCCAACTATTAGCTTAGACTTTTAATTGAGATGAAACACATGCTTTAATTCTACTCACCCAAGAAGATAGTTGCATTCAATGGTGTGCCTGTTGAAGGATGCACTTTGGCTAGCCAAGAAGGCACAAGCCTAGCCCTTCCAACCACACAAAGATACCTAGCTTGCCCAAGCATGGCAACCAAGAGAGAAGCCACAATCCCTAAACTTGCACCAACCCCTACTACATTGCTTGCCCATTTCCACCCCATCATTTTGAAGGCTGCTGAAAATGATCCCTCTTCAGGAATCTATCCATAAAAACACAAAATCAATCCCGACCCGAATAACAAATTCTCAATTTGTATGGAGAAACGAAAAACTGGAGAACATCGATCACTTACGAGATTATAAGGAAGGAGAAGGCAGAGAGAAAGAGCCATGAGGCAGTAAAGGGCAGAAACAATGAGGACTGAGCCAACAATCCCCACTGGTAAGCTCTTGGAAGGGTTTGTGATTTCTTCAGCCATGGTTGACACTGAATCATACCCAATATAGCTGAAATAAACTATGGCTGCTCCATCAAGAACCCCTCTCACACCAAAAGGAGCCAACCCTCCACCAGATTTCACCAAGTTGTCTGAACTTCCTTTGTAGAAACCAGCAATTATTATGAACCCAAAGAAAACCACATGGAAGATTGTCATCACAAGGTTCAACAATGAGCTCTCCTTAGTGCTGCAAAATCAAGAATTATTATAAAAGTAGTTATTGCTAGTAGCCATTAAAGGGGAGAAAAAGAAGATATATTAATACTTCATGAACCACCACTAGAAAAGAGAACAATTATTGCTAGCTGGAAGTAATCCTAACTAAGTTAATCAGACTGTTCGACTTGACAACCACAAAAGTTAAAGTTACAAGTTTGACTCTCAGCAATACGGCCTATTGGCCTTCTTGAATTGAGCCAGTAGTTATGGACAACTTAGGTTGGTTTGGTCTTTTGTTGGCTAGGGTCCCAAGGCGGGACAATCTAGGTTGGTTTACCTCATTGTGGTTTTTGACCGGCTAGACCAAGTAGTTATAGACAACCTAGATTGGTTTACCCCATTATGGTCTTTTGTTGGCTAGGGTCACAAGGTGGGACAATCTAAGCTGGTTTACCATCATTATTGTGGTTTTTTACTGGCTAGAATCATAAGGCGAAATATAATTTACCCCGTGCACACTCTTGAATAGTGGCTATTGGTCAAAAACACTGGTTTAGCTAGCATATTCCCTCATGATTATTACCAAGAAAACTAAATTAAAGAATGATATGATGAATGTGGAAGTGATGATAAGATTCAAACCTGTGGCACAAGACAATAGTGAGAAGAATGATCAATGCAACAGCTGGGAAGTCCAACATGTTGTAACCTTCCATTAATCCATCCACTTTAACCCTCCAACAATCTGGGTTGCCTTCCCCCAATGCATAGGATAAATACTCAGTGAAGCTTCTTGAAACAGCAGCATTTGACAGCACATAATCCATCAGTATGTTTGCTCCTGCAAAGTACCCTACAAACTCTCCTGCAACAACAACAATATGGGAAGAAACATCATTAAACTTCACTGTCACACCCAAGATTCTCATCTGTCCATAGTAAAAACCAAGAAACTGATGGGTCAGCCCCAACCAAGTTGGTCAGACTATAGGCCTGTTTCGTAACAGTAAAGTTACAAATTCAACTTTCACTGCTGGAAATTATTGAATTTCCGACCACCTGAATGTGATCTTAAATCAAGTTGAAAGCAAAAAGTGGTCGGAACAAGGCTTTTAACTTAATTTAAGATAACTTTCAGATGGTCGGAAATTTCAAAATTTCCAGTAATGTTCTAGTAAGAGTGGCTTATCGACTTTCTTGATTTGAGCTGAACTGATACTGGTTTTTAAAGACAGGTTTACCCAGTACACACTCTCGAGTAGTGACTATAAATTTTTCTCGTAACTTAAAACCAAGAAAATGAAGAATATTACCAAAGGTTATGCGGAGATAACTGAAAGCGCCGCCGGCAACCGGGACCTCAACGGAGAACTCAGTGTAGCACAAGGAGGAGAGGAGGGCCGACAGGCCAGCGACGATGTAGGAAATGAAGACAGAAGGGCCGGCGGTTTTGCGAGCAACGGGGCCGGTGGTCACGAAAACTCCGACACCGAGCATTCCTCCGACGCCGAGAGCGACCAAATCGTACCATGTCAGCTTCCTCTTCATGTCTGCACCAGACCTCAGTCTCACCTTGTTCAGCTCCTGGTCGGGCGTCCATGTCGCCAGCGCTCTCTTCTTCAGCTTTTTTGGCGTCTGTGACAGAGAATTAAGGTAAGTGGAGAAGATTTCCGGCATGCTTCTTGAAACTGCAGTTTCAGTGGCAGCCATTTTTTTTTTTCTTTTCGGTTTCTTTTTTCTTGGGTGGTTTTCAGCTGCAATTGCAAGGCCTTATATATAAGCCATGGCAAGAGTATTTTGGTTGATATATATATATATATATATATATATATATATATATATATATATATATATATATATATATCAACTAGCATGTTAGGCGTAAAGGTGCAATCATATAGTAGTTGTGGTGTAATTTTTCAAAAATTCGCAGGTCAGTTCGCAAATTAAGATTGGATATATATATATATATATATATATATATATATATGTGTGTGTGTGTGTGTGTGTGTATATAATTTTCCTTTTCTCCACTTTTTCTCAAAGGTTGATGGATGGATGATATGGGATATGAAAAAAGGGTTAGGTATCTCATATTGATCACCACATTATTTTCTTTTACATATAATTTATATAATATATAAAAAAGAATTAGGTATCTCATAACCATGGTACTTTTATATATATAATCAATATATCTACCCTGTTGGGTTACCCGCATGGGCAGTTCAACTGGTCACAGAGGTGAAACTTTGGAAGAATGACCAGTGATTGAGTCTCACCATGCTACCATAAAAAGCGTTTGTAGTTAACCCAATAAGGTAGCTCAAGTGACAAATGAGCTCCAAATATGATATACCTAATTGTATCGAGTATTGTTGACACTAATATTGCAATAATATGATATATTTAATTGTAGTAACGTTGGATTGAGGTGGAAGGTTGTAATTTGTAGAAGAGAATTGAAGCCCTAATGGTGTCCCTTAGGTTTTGGTGAAGGTACTTATATGTCCTTTGGTTCTCTCCTTGTGACAATAATGCCCTTTTTATTAATTCTACCCCCTTTCAGCTTTTTAGAGAACCAAGACTATATAAACTATGAAGATATCACACTTCTCATTGGAGAAGCATGCAAAGAAAGGTGGACAAAAGTTCCAATTATTATTATTTTTTTATGAAGAAAACAAGCTTGTAAGAGCTGAGGAATCACAATGTAAACAAATGTTTTTTTTTTTTTTTTTTTTTTTTTTTTTTTTGGGTGGGGGGTGGGGTTGGGGTAGCAGGGGGGGACTTTGACCTAATCTCTTTTGGTTTTGGAATTTTCTCATCTGAAAACAATGAAAGAAGATGTGACAGGCATCCATTCTCTGTGCAAAAGCACACAACTAAAGGTTTCTTCCCAGTCCTAAGTCTTGTTGAGCATATATATATATATATATATATATATATATATATATATATATATATATATACACACACACACAACATTCCAGTGGGAATAAAGTCTTAAGCGATTGACAATTTAATAAATATTACAAACTTTTAGTACACCAGAACTATATGCATGTAAAAGTTTAGGGTCCTTTTGGAAGAATGTAAAAGTTTAAATTTTTGACGATGAAAATAACCTGCAGTCATTACTCAAAGGATATGCACGTGGTAAACCTTGCCGACATACATGCACTTTTACATATTGATTACTACAGAATAAAGATTTTATTACACAGTTCTTAAATAACCGGCAGTCTATTCATTTAGATTAATTTTTTTAGTGACAAGGAAAACACACAATCACTATTCGAGGTGTGACTGTGTTTAAACTATTGACGTTGATTTTAAACCACATGACCGCCTTTAATATTATAAGATGTACTAGTTTTTTACGCGCATTGCGCGATTGGGATAATGCCCAATGTTTTTCTTAAATAAATATTTTAAAGTATATCAAGACAATATTATATTGAAATTGTTCATGCATAGATAATTGAATGTTGAACTTGCGTATTTAAATTGGTAATTCTAAGTTTACAAATGCAAGATAATATAGTCAAGATTGATTATAATTGTCAATAAAATAATTGTATGAGTATGGTTAAAATCAAATACGGGATATAAGGGAGAGCAAATAAAATTAAAGCATAAAATATTAAATATATACTAATATTGTTTGAGGAGATTCCGGCAGTAGGAGCGTTATGCTTTGAGCACGTGCCCACCTTGCAAGGTGGGCACGGTTCCATATCCATAATTTCTGTACTGTAAATTCATAATTTCTATATTGTAGATCTATAATTTCTATACTTTAGATTCATAATTTTTAAACCATAGATTTATAATTTAAATACAGTAAATTCATAATTTCTAACAGTAGATTCATAATTTCTATACTGCCGATTCATAATATCTGTACTGTAGATTCATAATTTCTGTACTGTAAATTCATAATTTCTAAACTGTATAGTTATCAACTATGAACATATAGTTCTCTGATTTGTGAAAACAGAGTTCAACAATTGGAATCTAAAGTATAAAATTAGTCATTATGTAGTTCTCACTTCAATTTGTTGTGTGATTTGAAATCTCTCTTTGTCAACAAATCCCTCAAGTAGTTAATATGATTGGCTTTATTAATTATGTTTTTTTTTAATTTTTAATTTTTTCATGGTATTAATAAAGTACTTGGTAAATAAATATATAGCATTATTTTGTATTATAACTTTGAATTAAAAAATAGTGCACAAAAAAGATAATAGACAATGTAGTGAATATAATTAATTGATTAATTTGAATGTAAAGAATTTTTACATTGAAGAAAAATAAAGACAATATAACTAATGAAATTATTTCTCTTATTTAATTTATTGATAATGAATAATTTTTTTTTTTTTGAATAATGACATTGTACACATAATTCTAAATAAAAGAAATGCATATGTATTATTATTATTTTTTTGTAGCTACTAAATTATTAATTATTAATTAATTTAATAAGAGTAAAATAGAGTACTAATTATGCCAACTTTAATTTGATTGGGATGAGGTTCGAACCTGAGATCTTTCTTATTAAAATCAATGAGTAAGTTAACAGTGAACTAACAGAAACTAACGGAAAAAATAATATTTAACGGAAAAGTTAACGGATAATCATATTCATTAAGGATAAATTAGGAAATGTCAAGGAAAAATTAAAATCTGGTCAATCTAAGCCATTCATTTGATTAAAAAATTTGACCGTCATTTTTTCTACCCATTATAGTCCTAACTCTCTTGGGCTCTTATTAGTATAGTAGATAGATAGTAGATTAGTATAGTAGATTTTTGTTGTTCTGGGTGGTGCACCCAACTTTATGCACTTGGTAATTTTGCATTGTGCATGCTCATATGTTTGTACGGGAAAGTCTATTCTCACCCGATCAGACTATATATATATATATATATAGTGTCGACTTGATTGTTGAGTTGTTGACATTATTAGATTTTCTCATTCGATCAATTCATATATATGTATCTTTTGCGTCTTTTTCAATCTAAAATATATAATTATTTCATTATTGGTACAGGAAAAACACATATTCATTGTACTGTATGTAGTACTAAAGTAACTAGCTAGCTAGGAGAGAGCAGAGAATATAATGCATGGTTGGTGAACATAAAATTGGAAGGTTATAAGTACAGGGAAAGTGTAGATATGATGAACTGTTAGGACTGTATATTATTAGAGCATTATATTCCTATCCAACAGGCAACAGTTGTGTGTCCTAAAACTTATCAAGTTATACACGACATTATTTATGCGGCATACTCGATCAATATAGTGTTTTTTTTGAGTGCTACTGACTCGATCAATATAGTGTTGGTAAGAATTAAACTCGTAATCTTTTGATATAATCAAAATCATGTTTTATTCACTCAATCACTCATTTCAGGACCACATAGACATATTGTTAAATCATGTAATATTTTAGCCCACATGGACAGATCAGTTGGTCACATGCACGGGTGAAGTTTAGGCACAGTGACCTAGATTGAGTTTCACCAGCAACAGCATTTTAAGTGAGGGGACTTCTTATACACAGTAAACAAATGTCCAGCTGAGTAACCATGATTTTATGGTTCACAATATATTAAAATATATATTCCATGCCTTTTATTCATGGTTGATAGCAAAATTTGCCCGCAGAAACAACTGGCTAATTGATTATAATTAATTGACTTTACTCTTTGCAGAAAAATGGGAAAGTTACAACGGAAAGAACCCAGAATAGGGCAATTTAATCTTGGCTAAAACATAGATAATATAATGCCGTCCCTCCAATTAAGGTTGTTTTTCATTCTAATATATCCACTTCTACTCTTGCATGATGACTAAGCAAAGTGATGATGATGCTATAGTAGAATCGTCACAATGTAATCATCTGCTAGCTAATATTGTGATATTGATCCTTATACTTTGATTTATAAGAAAATTTGCAACCGCTACCAAACTAAAAGTATACTTTACGTGAAACTCGTCTTGTGACTCTAGAGAGTAAAGAACCACAAGAAGCTAAGGTAAACTAACCTAGGTTACTTTTATATATATATATATATATATATATATATATATATATATATATATATATATAATCATAATCAGGTGAGAACCAACCTTAATCTGAAAATTGAACCTGCGAACTTATGAAGGATTGCATCGCAACGACTCCTAGACATGTTTGGAAGACCTTGTGATATAATCATATCTGGATGCAGTACAATCGTATAGTAAATGCGGTGCAATCCTTCAAAAGTTCACAAATTCGTACATTAAAATCAGTTTGCACCTGATTATGAATAAATATATATATGACACAAGTTTCTCAATTTCACCGAACTAATATATGAATTTTCTAAGTTATTATATGGTGCAAAGGATATATGCTTCTAGACGTGTGAACAGAATCAAATCATTAAATTGATTCATTTCAGCATCTCATCAAATCTACAAGATCCATATATATATATATATATATATATATATATATATATATATATATATATCCACAATACAGTAGACTTTCTGCGTTATATATGTTCTAAATTTTATTAACTCTAGGTTTAATTACTTGAACCTACCTATATCAAATCTAGTAATTTATACGGGTATAATTCACTACTATTTATATTTAATAAAAAATACAGATGAATAAATTCTCGACGATTCCTTTAAGTGTCCTTTAACTTGTCTATTGACTATTATATTTC